TTTTTTTTTGCGTCGTGAGAATATTGAGCAAAATTGCCATGGTGTTATTTAACTATATCATGTTATGAATAAACTAAACATTTTGAATTTTTACCTCAGTGTGTTTCTTCTGAGTTTATGTGTGCTGTTACGCTCATTTGTTCTGAAGTCTCGAGACAAACAGAGTGTGCTTCAGCGCGACCTTGTATTCTGCTAACTTACTGCAATTCTCTCTGATGACGCAGTAACTTACCGCGTGGAAGAAAAAATATTCGGTCTGTCCAATGATTGTAAACAGTCATTAGGTCCGTCAGACTGAAGATATTTGAGCGGTAATGTGACCAAAAATATTTAAGACCCATCGAATCCGAATTTAAGACATTTTAAGACTTCTTAAGGCCTTATATTAGGAAAACGTTATTTAAGACTTTTTAAGGACCCGCGGACACCCTGAGCTAGGCTAAATCCGATCTGAGCGGTCAGACTGAAACGGATTTCCAGAAATAGGATTCCAAACCACATACAAATGTAGCTCGAAACAGATTTGCACAAATCGGATTTCATGTAGTTTGTTGGCGTTCAGACTATCTAAATATGATCGGATTTCAATCGGATTTGGGCTGACAGTCTGAACAAGGCTAAAGAGTGTGTGACGTACGCTGGATCCCGGTGCAGAGGGGGAATGTGAGTTCTGGGGTGAACGGATGACTGGTGGAAGACCTCTTACTGGACTGGACCCATTACCACCCTGAAACTACAGATAGAGGGAAATAAACAAATCATATGGTTTTAAACGATGCAGTTCTAGACACCACTCCACTTGAACACCACATAGACTGTCCTTTTTGGAGTTTTTATCATATGCTTTCACTGCATGGAACAGCAACTTTTTTTCACTCCGAGTGAAGAAAAACCATTTGCGCTTGGAATGACATGAGGGTGACTAGATGACAGAAATGTCACTATGGTTTAACTTTTTTTTTTTTTTTTTAAAGGTGATGGCGTAATATTTTTCATGTTAAAACACTTTCTGCTCTCCCAGCTTAATGTGGAGAGAATTATAAAAACACCACACTTAAAACATTGTTCAGTTTGAGCATCGTCCTGATATAGTAAAACTGGTTCAAATTTGAATCAGACCAACCCATTTTCAATTAATGTAATTTTGTGAATTAAAAAATAAATCCTCGTGTCTGACTCATCAGTTTGTTCATCAGAGAAGTCTTTGATCAATGTAAAATATTTCACCACCTCTGAAATGACTTTGATGTAACCAGAATATAACATTAATTACATTTATATTTAATATTTATTCATTAAAAATACTACTCTTCACTATCCAATTACATCACTAAAAAAAATTAAGTCCACCCTACATTATTTCCTTAAAAATGTTCTGTTTTGCTTGAAAATGTTATGTTAACTATGCTGCAAATATGGTTTCGTGTTTTTAAAACAACATCATCCAAGCTGCAATCACTACATATCAGTTACGCTTTCGTTGAGCCAATGCCAACGATTTATCATATGCTTTCATTAGCTTCCCCACAAATTACTGACAGATACTCACATCAAAATAATCACTAATTTTGGGTCCCCGAATGACAGACTTCCCTATGAGAGAAAAAAAAAAAAAAATTTTGGGGTGAACTATTTCTTTGAAGACCTGTATCGTAATTTTAATCTACAGGCACAAGTAGTGTGATAAACACATAAATGTGTATTTTAGTTGTCTTCTTTCCACTAGTCTGAAAGAAGAGATTTCATGGAAGCAAATATCTCAAAATTGATCATTCAGGAAACGTTTTTCAGACATTCATTGTTCATAATTCTAATTATTCCAAAGAGAGAGAGAGAGAGAGAGAGAGACAGAGACAGAGACAGAGTGAGAGAGAGAGAGACAGAGACAGAGTGAGTGAGAGACAGAGACAGAGAGAGAGACAGAGAGAGACAGAGAGAGAGTGAGTGAGAGAGACAGAGACAGAGTGAGAGAGAGACAGAGACAGAGAGAGAGACAGAGAGAGACAGAGAGAGAGCAATCTCTATATAGCAGTTACGCTTTCATTAAGCCGATGATTTATCATATGCTTTCATTAGCTTCCCCTCAAATTACTGACAGATACTCACATCAAAATAATCACTAATTTTGGGTCCCCGAATGACAGACTTCCCTATGAGAGAAAAGTAAAAAAAAGACATATGATTAAGCATATTAAGCTAAACAAAGAATATACTAGAAAACAGACAAGACAGACAGACAGACAGAGAGAGAGCGAGAGAGAAAGAGCGAGAGAGAGAAAAAGAGTTAATCGTTTACCCTGACTGCTCTCTGATTGGTTGTCAGCTTTCCTCTTCCTGCCCCGTGATGATTCAGAGTGCTTCTTTTCAGGAGTCTATAAATGAGAGACATTACATTCATACACCATTTGTTATGAATTTATTCAGGTCTTATTTTGCACCCGGTGCACAATAATGCTGGCCTCAGCAAGCACTGAGCACCACATTTAAATTCATAGTCTCCCGAGAGCAAATCGTACAATCTCTGAACATCAGCTGAGAGTATAACGAGACATATTGTGTGTCTTCAAACAGTATTTAATGACTCTTGAGTCTAAATGACTCTAAGAATATCCCCTAAAGTGAGAGTGCATAATCTGGGGCCTGGACCAATAATCACAGTCTATTTTCTCTCTCGCTGGGGAAAAGATGCAGAAATATCCTGCTCTTTTCAGCACAGACAAAGAGGGGTGTGCTGCCAAGGGCATCTTTGCATTCTGATCAGAGAGGAGTTCTCGCTCACTGGCTTGGACTGAAACCTCCACGTCTGCCACCAAACTCCAGCGCACACACCAACGCTATTAAGAGATAAACGGAGTCCTACACACACACACACACACAAAAGAAATGCTGCCTCATCTATATGTTGATTAAAATGCTAATCTTTTTATAGCTGTGAAACAGAAAGAGAGTGTTTCCAAAACAGATGCGGTTAAACTCCGCCCTGTGTATTATACATTGCTCCTTCATATGAATTCCTCATAATCTAAGCTTAATTTGAGGTTATCGTAGAAAATGATGAAGTGTTGTGAGGGCTAGGCCTGTGCTTTTCTGGAAACCAAACCACGTATTTCCAAAGAGATGTGACCGAACCAAGAGCCTCAAAAAGCATCATTTGTGTGTCTCTTTTCAATTCTCACATGACTGGGACAGAGAGACTTACTGAATACGCAGGAGAACTTCCTCTTTTCCCATCTGATCCCTGCAACAGAGAAAGAGGAAGAATGAATGAGAGAAGAGGAAAAGGGAAAACAAATTAAATGAGAGAACGAATATAAGGAAAAAGGAAATGAGGAAAATAAATGAGGAGAGGATAAGGAAAACGAAAAGACAAAAATTCAAGGAAAAAGGAAGGATAAGGAAAAGGAAATGAGGAAAATAAATAAAAAAGTAAAACAGATGAGGAAAGGATAAGGAATACGAAAAGACAATAATTCAAGGAAAAAGGAAAACGGAAGGATGAGGAAAAGGAAATGAGAAAAAGAAAAGGAAAACAAAGGAGGAAATAAATTAAGAAAAAGATAAGGAAAACAGAAAGGCAAAAGGAAATGAAATGAGAGCATGACAGGAAAAGGGAAACAAAAGAGGAAATGAAAAGAAGAAAAAAATGAGAAAATTAAAGGACAGGAGGAGAAAGAAAAGAGAAAAAGGGAACATGAAATTAGAAGGAAGGGAAAATCATCGGATAAGGAAAAAGAAAAGGGAAGTAAATGGAAATGAGAAAGGAAACAAAAAAACAAAAGAGAAAAATACAGGAAGGACAGAAAATACAAGAAGAGGATAAGGAAAGGGAGAAAATCAAGGTAAAAAGAAAAGAATATGATAAGAAAAAGGGAAAAAGGGGGGAAAGAAAATAAGGGAGAACAGGATTAAAAAATGAAGCAAAAAGGCTAAAGAAAAGAAGAAAAATTAATGAAAGGAAAAAGAAAAAGGATAGAATAAAAAAGGGGAATGGAAGAAAAGGAAGACATAATAGGAGAAGGAACAGAGATGAAAGGAAAAGGTTAAGGAAAAGCAAAAGGTAGAGGAGAGGAGGAACAGGGAACTGTTTTTAGATGCGAGTGGGTCAGGAGCTGCAGACTACAGGACAGGACTGAAGCTGCTGTTTATAATTAGCCCTCAGTGACAATGACAGAATGTCACGGTGGCCCTAACGAGTCGGCACAGCCTGATATTGATGTTCTGCACGCTCCACACAGGCACTTTTGGGTCACAACGGCCACAAGCTCAGAACAAGCAACACAAAGAAACACGCTCGCCATCAGAGAAAATCTACAATTACTAAAGCTGCAGTATAAGATGCTGACGCGATACAAAGGCAAATAGAATTCAATGCATCAAAAAGAGAACAATCTGTGCTTCTTCACCTGTCATTCCTCATTTGATAGAAGCTACAGAGGAGGACACTTCTGCGCATGAAGCCTTCTGAAATATAAAGATTACGTAATCTTCATTCCTGTCACTGAAAATGGAAATCCTTGATATATACATATACTCAAAACCATCATGAATATGCAAATCATCCTGCATTAAACGAGTCGTGGGCTTCAGGCTGCAGGTGTCGGAGGCTGTGATTAGCGTTCAGGGGATTATTGGTAATCTAGTGTAGGTAGTCTTGAGGTGGGGCTGTAATGGAGGTTTTACGGGAAGTCTGAAGGGGGTGTGTGTGTGTGTGTGTGTGTGACAGGTGTGTCTGACATCTGGCACAATAAGCAGCTCACAGCCACATGAGAGGAGTTTGTTCTCAACCTCCCAGTTCACTTTCTCTCTCCCTTCATAACTCGCTCGATTGGCTTCTTCCTCCTCTCTTGCTCTGATTTATGTCACAGCAGGTGTGTTGTGCGGGGGGAGGGGAGGACAATTGTCCTTACTATGATGCTTTGTGTGTGTGTGTGTGTGTGTGTGTAATACTTTGCCTGCTGATGGTTTAACTATCGGGGGTTATGACAGATGCCAACCCAGCTTGAGTCTGCTACAAAACCTAAACACACACACACACACACACACACACAGAGTGACACAGTATCCTCTACAGTATGAGGCAGAAGCACAGCCCTCAGCACACAGAACTAGAGCTTCATTACAGGGAACATTTCCCATCGGACTGAGTCACACTCACACACCAGCATCAGTAACGCTTTGATTCAAAGAAAACACAGCAGAACGTATCGGTGCCATCTGCTGAACTATGAGTTATTAACAACATCTTTCATCAGGACTCAACCGTGCGCAGTTAGAAACGGAGCATCCATCACAGATCTCAGTTTGGAGCAAACGCTTCAGTGTACAATTAACCGTTTTACTGATCTATTCATTTCTTTGTCATTCACAGTCCTTATGGATAAAAACACACTGAACTGTGATTCAGACATACTTCTCGCATGGTGAGAAGACACCTACAGCACAAATGCCTACATGGAAGTTACAAATGAATATCCTGAAGGTTGATTCACATTATCTAGCTGCTACAATGAGCACGTTTACATGCACACCAGTAAGCTGGCAACTCACAAATATCAGCTTATTAAAATAGCCAGTTTTCCCCATTTACATGCACATTAGTAACCTGACAACACAAGCTGTGTTTACATGATTTTATTAATAAATCAGGTTATTTCCCTTTAGTGACGTAAAAATATTATAATTTGCGTATCTTACTCAAGAGTATTCCATAGTTGTGATGTTAAAGCTTGCAACATGTCAGCGGGAAACTTACAGCTCATATAGCCACGAGATATGCATTTTATAATTTTTCTCATTTTCTGAGTCATGAAAGAGTCTGCTTTTGTGATATTTCCTTCTTTCTTTACTGCAAAATGTTTTCTCTGTCTAGATGGGCTTAAATCTGCATTAAAGATGCGTTCCTGTTACTTATCACATATGCGCACTTCAACAAGCAGACAGAAAGCGGGTTCATGCATTTACATTAAGAAGCAAAAAAACTACCCGTGTCGACCGGTTTATGCTTATGCCGTTTATGACCTTACTCCGATAAAAGAAAGAAACGGAGCATCCATCACAGATCTCAGTTTGGAGCAAACGCTTCAGTGTACAATTAACCGTTTTACTGATCTATTCATTTCTTTGTCATTCACAGTCCTTATGGATAAAAACACACTGAACTGTGATTCAGACATACTTCTCGCATGGTGAGAAGACACCTACAGCACAAATGCCTACATGGAAGTTACAAATGAATATCCTGAAGTTTGATTCACATTATCTAGCTGCTACAATGAGCACGTTTACATGCACACCAGTAAGCTGGCAACTCACAAATATCAGCTTATTAAAATAGCCAGTTTTCCCCATTTACATGCACATTAGTAACCTGACAACACAAGCTGTGTTTACATGATTTTATTAATAAATCAGGTTATTTCCCTTTAGTGACGTAAAAATATTATAATTTGCGTATCTTACTCAAGAGTATTCCATAGTTGTGATGTTAAAGCTTGCAACATGTCAGCGGGAAACTTACAGCTCATATAGCCACGAGATATGCATTTTATAATTTTTCTCATTTTCTGAGTCATGAAAGAGTCTGCTTTTGTGATATTTCCTTCTTTCTTTACTGCAAAATGTTTTCTCTGTCTAGATGGGCTTAAATCTGCATTAAAGATGCGTTCCTGTTACTTATCACATATGCGCACTTCAACAAGCAGACAGAAAGCGGGTTCATGCATTTACATTAAGAAGCAAAAAAACTACCCGTGTCGACCGGTTTATGCTTATGCCGTTTATGACCTTACTCCGATAAAAGAAAACGGGTTACCGCGTTTTCGGCTTAAGCATAATCGGCTTAAGAACTCAGTTTTTATTTGAGACAATCATTTCAATGCATTACTATTTTTAATAAAAAAAATCAACAAACTTTTACACTTTAAAGGGGTCATGAAGTGCCTTTGTTTTTTATTTTGTACTGTTGTCTAAGGTCCACTTATAATGTTATCAAGATTTTTTACATCAAAAATCATCACAATTTAGAAGTAATCGGCTATTTTCTGTCCAGTTTTTGATCCCCTCATCAGAACGCTCTGTTTGGATTGGCGTAGAGGATTGTAGACTCCTTGCGAATCTAGTTGAGATCTTGTGAAGTGTGCATTTGTATCCTGCACGATCGCGTGTTCTCTGGGTGACGGTCGATCCGTGCGAATTTAATGTGGACAGGAGAGTTCAGCTTAACTGGATATGCGCGATCGACAAACTTTAAACTACTGATTTCAAATTATGCTGCGCTTTAAGCATTTTCCCACTGTTATATTCATGTCATTTTCACTGTGTGCTGTATGTAAAATGAGTGTTACCTTGGCTTTATTTGAAAAA